CTACCCACTGCCAGCCTCTCTCAGCCTTCTCCATAGATTCCCCAAGGTACCCCATGCATAATGCATTTCCCAGCTAGAAATCAGACCTCGCTAGGATCTGCTCTCCCGAAAAACCTCCTTCCTGGCAGGCTCCCCGGCTCTGTGGGAATTAGCAGAGGCACCGGGAGAGGTGGTTTCCTTTCTCTTTGTGGGTGTGAAGCACATGGCTTGGAGCTATATCAGCTGCTGCAGACACACAAGGTTGCCCTTGCCACCCAAAGCACTGCGATAATTACCCACAGTGCAGAAGCACTGATGGGACCTTTCCTCCTGTCCCCAGCTCTCCAGGCCAGTAAGGAATGGGGGTGCAGGGATGGAGCTGGTGATATGAGGGAGATTTTGGTATGAGAAACAGGAAAATGCAGAAACCAGCCTGATTGAGGAAAGCTGTTATATCTTTTGTGCTGAACTGAACACAACTAACCCAGGCTGACCAAAAGCACCTTGGTGTGGCCAATGTGGCCTTTTAAAGGCCCCAGTCACACCAGCTTCCCTGTCTATCCTAAAAAAATTGCTGGCTGAGAGGGCCATGGGAGCAGGAGGATTACATTTATCTTAAATTTAATCTCTTCAGGAAGAAGCAACTAATTTCATTATTAATTTATTTGGCTTTATATACAAACAAAGAACAATTTAAAGCAATTTACTCAGGTGAATCCCTGCACCTTCTGGTGTCCTTCAGGACAGGCTTGTTTTATAGCGGAGAAATTCATCAACTGACTCGCTGAAGCTTTAATAAAAGAAACGAGAAGAAAAGGCCATGGTTGAGCTGGGAAATGAACCCAGGAACGTTGACTTTGAACTACATGAAACCAGTTGCACTACAGTAGCGCGGTCGGTACTTTTTTGCTTGGTTTTCAGCCACAGCTTTAAAGTTTGGCCAACAAAGTTAAGAAGTCAGGAGGGGGGTAATTTTTATTCTTCAGATGAGAAGGCTGAGGAATCTAAAAGCCTGGTGCTCACAATAACTTATTATTGCTCTTTATTTGATGGAGTGACTCATATAGCATATAGCTTCAGGAGCAGGTTTGGGGAAAGCTATAGCTGAAAACACAGCCAGCTGTAAAAAGCTAGCCATTTCCTAACAGCATCTACTTCAAAAGAATAAAATAGATGTCTTCTTTTTTCTATCCAAAAAGTCACTGCAGAAGCAGCTTTCTTTTGTTATCTCCCAATAAATGTGTCTCTGTAACAGTGGAATTTACTGCTGGGGGTGTGTGTTTCTCACCACTGCTTCCCCTTACAAAGGGTCTAATCTGTCTTGTGCTGGGAGAAGGCAAATGATGTCATGTTTCCTGTATTTCAGCCTACTTTGCAGCTGCTGCAGAAAGGCAGGGCTATAGGTAAACATTTCACCCTGCAAGAGCAGAGCAGGAGCTCTGGGGTTGAGCTGGGTTAAGAGCTCTGGGAGCAGACTGGTGGTCACAGCATTTCTGCATAGAATAGTAGAATCATCATCATCATCATGGCTTGACGTCGCGAACGAAGATTTGGGAAGGGCATTTACCCACGCTTACTACAAGCGCGCTGATGACTAAGAAGGCCAATGTGGGATAGGCAAATCCGGCTACAAAAAGCACAGCAGAAGGTCTCCTTGGGTGGAACAGGTGGGACACGATTCTTCCTGCGTTGTCTTTTCTCCTCGAGACTAGTTCTTCGTGAACTCTCAAAGGAGTCAGCGGCATTATGTATGGTGTGCCTCCAAGTCTCCCGATTGGAGGCCAAGGTGGACCACTGATGGTAGTCAATATGGCCAAGGCTAAGGTATTGTTTCAGGGAGTCCTTGTATCTCTTCTTTGGGGCACCTCTCTTGCGGCTACCAGTGGCAAGTTCACCATAAAACACGATCTTGGGGAGGCGGTGATCCTTCATTCTAGAGACGTGCCCTGCCCAGCGCAGCTGCAGTTTCAGCAATGTGAATAGTGGAATCAATTGGGTTGGAAAAGACCTTTAAGATCGGGAAGTCCAACCATTAGCCTCCAGTGCGAGCTGAGGTTAGCTTTAGTTTTCCCTTTGGACTACCTGACTTCACCCCTGTGGTCAGGGATGATCCGGGCTGGGATGCTGCAGCAGTGGGGAGCCCGCATCCTGGTCATGGTGTGCCCTGCCCCGCTGGCAGCACTGGCTGGGGCAGGGAGCTTGGCAAGTCAGGACATTCTGCCTTGGCACGGCCAGCGTGGAAAGTTTGCAGAGCACCGCCTGAACTAGTTTTACTTCCAGCAAGGGAGTCCTTGACATTCATTAAGGCTAGATTCACTCTCACATTTTAATCAATGAAATGGAAAAACAGCAGAACAGGAATGCGTAAGCAAGTCTGACTACTTTGTCTTTGTTTTCCTCTAGTACCAGCAGCCTAACAAGCCCAGGATAACACCCGCCTGCTGCCAGGTTCGCCCAGGCAATTATCACAAACGCAGAGCGAATAATTATGCATGCAAAGACCCGTCTGGTACCTGCCACATGCAGTGACTCAGTCTGTGTGCAGGTGCATGTGTCTGCCTGGTGCGCACGCCACCTCACACAGCGGGACCAAGGTGCTCCGGACCACCCAGTGGAAAACTCAGCTCATTCCACCACGTCACTGTCTTGCCTCCACACAGAGAGCACTGAGTGCTCAGGGTCTGCAGTGGGGAGGCATCGAGCTTTGTGCTGGGTGCAAGGAGGTTCCCTGGGGTGCTGAGACCCCCTGTGCTGGTATAGAGTGCTGGAGGGCTGCAGGCAATGGCTCCCTGCTTTCCACTGACCACATCCCAGAAGTGGGATTGTTTGAAGGTGCAATGTGAAGCCTCACTTTTCCCCGTTGCGATGACAACAGCCCTTCCTTGGTGAATTTACCCCTATCGGTGGTATCCCTTTCCCCATGAGAACTGCCTGCAGCCTATGGCTCTGCTGCCTGCAGTTTTGTTTCTCTGTAATTTTGTCCCTTGCCTTATACCAGCCAACTATGGCTTTCCTTATATATTGTACCTTGAGTGCAATACAAGGAAGTAAAAATGAGTAACAGCTTGTTTCCCAGCCCTGGATGGAGCAAAAATTTTGATGAATGAACAGACTACTTGCATGAAAAAGAGCAGGAGTAATTTGCAATGAATAATATTCAAGTGTTACCTTTTTTTCTCTTCCACTCATAAATTGCTTGCAAATTATTTCTTCCCCCCCCAAAGCTGTTAGTCAGCAGAGTAAATACAGAGCAGCTTGCTGGAAGCATTTGTTTTCTGCTCCTCTGAGCTGTGGTTAGAGGTGCTGGTCACTCTGATTGATGGGGAAACTCACACTAGCATCTTTTGCTGGTTGACACCTCAAGGCTCCTGGGGCTTTGCATATACTTCTTCCACAAGCAATGGCAGATGCTGAAAAAGCTGTTTGTTTGCTACTGTTCATATTTTATCAAACATTGCTTCTACAAGTCTCAATCAACATTGCAGCTTGACAGGGACCCGAGTTAAGAATGTATGATTTTATGAAAGATAGGTGTAGATCTTTAGGTTGCTGGAGAGTCACAGTTCACCGTTTCCCCCCATTTCTCTGGAGCTTTGCTGTTGAAAAATAACATGCCTATCTCTGAGGCCATCCCTCACCTCTGTCTTTACTTGTTCTGCTTGTATTAATGCAGGAGGTTGCCTTCTGCCCTGCTCCATGTGAGCTGCACACATGGAGGTTTGATTTTGTCCTTCTAATCCCTTGTCTGTCATCACCTTTGGTGAGGGACACACATAATTCAGAGGAATGCACTGTAGAATTAAAATAGCCCCATCTCCCAAGTGTCACCTCTATCCCTCTCATGTTTTAGCCTTTCCTCCTGCTGGGCCCTGCATGGGACAGGCATGTGCAGGGTGAGTGTGCAGCAGGGACAAGCTGTGGGAAGGGTGGGAGAGGCATTTCCTACTCTGTCCTCCATCCCTGTGCATCCCTGCCACTCAGCACAGTGGAAGGATAGAGGTCAGCCCCTGACCAGGGGATGGTTATTTGCACATGAGCTGTTTCTCATCCTGCATTTTTCACCTTGAAATGCTAACAGTCATGAAGAAAAACTTACCACTGTGCAAAGCTGATGTGTTACCCTGCCCTGCCTTCACTTCAGGCTCTTAGCTGAGGCCAGGAGAGGCTAAGTGATATGCTGGTGGTCACTGTGTCATGACCAGGTTGCCTGGCTCCCTGTGCTGTGCGTCATGTGGACACTGCAGTCTAAGTTATTTTGGGATCTCTCCCCTCCTCTCCTGTTTCCTACTCCTTTTCCATTGACCTATTCTAATCAGTTTCCCTTTTTCTTCTTCTGCTTGAACTCAAAGCGGTGTGAAGGAATGACCTCTCTTTCATGCACATGATTGCATTTTAAACTTTAATAGCTTCCATACCCTTTCCTAGGAGGTCTCTGCTCAGCTGAAGGTCTGTGCATTGCACTCACGTTTAGGGAGCAGCCAGAACATGATGGAAAAGTACAGTCTCTGTATCAGGTCTCTTTTTGCATGATGGACACTTCAGATTTAAGCTACACTCCTTTCTAAGCTGAACATATGTGAGGCTGAGGTTCATCCCATAGAGCACTTATTGACATTATGCAGGCCTAAAGAAATCTGGTTTGCCCATGAAAAAAATGGAAGTGTAATGTAGCTGCTGTTAATTAAGAGATATCTTAATAACATGCAGTGATTTCTTCATAGATACCAACAGAACAGGCTTAAGAGGAGATAGTGAAACACACCCAGAACCACTTTTGCTCTGTCACAAGCCCTCCTCTCGAGTGCCATGGAATGTTTGTGTGCATGCGTAGAGCTGGCAACAGAAACCAGAGCAATTGAGATTACGACAGTTCTGCTTATCCTAAACTGAATATGGCTTTTTTGAATGTTTTGAGTTTAATCGCTTATTTCCTCTTAGTTCCCCCTTGACTAACCGTTGCTTTTCTCGTGGTAGAGGGCCTGGATATACAAGGAATGATCCAGAAAGAGTGGTTTGTTAACGTGGATTCCAGAATGGAGAGGTTAAAGCCCAAATTACTTCCTGGTTGTGAAATATATGAATTATTAGCTCCTGGGTGGATACCTTTGTTATGAACTTTGATGTTATGAATTTTGATGTGACAGTAGCTGTTCAAAGGAGAGGAAAAAGGATGTGTGAGAAGTCTGCAAAAATCAGAATATGGGCTTTTAGCTTATAGACTCTGTCTTTTTCTCTCTCAATGGAGTTCTTTCTTCTCAGAGGCAATTAACTACATCTAGGACAGGGATGAGCGGAGGTTTCTTCTTTGCTTCTCTTGCTGGAATAGGCTAAATTGGTAGGTTTAGAAAGATTATTGAAGTACAAAGTGTGAGGGAGATGCTGGTCCAGAGGTTCAGACCATTCCTAACATCACAGGAAAAACAAGCGAACAATACCACACTGAAAAATAACTGGTTGTTGCCTGAAGCAATTGCCATATTCTTAAACTGCCTTTATTCGTACCAGTAATGCTGTGGTGAAAACTCACTCATCTTTGAGGAGCTCCTTCTGGTACTGAACCTAGGTTTTCTTGACCCTGATGTTACCCACCACCGCGGGGAAGAGCCACCATGGGGTGGGGAGGGCACCCCTGCAATGAGTAGGACAGTGGTGCTCTGTGGTAGATGAGGGTATAGGGGGAGTGGGCATGGCCATGCTGTGGAGCTCCTCACCACCTCTCAGCAGCTTTCCCCCGTTGTCTGGCCATCCTCAGAGGGTATGAAGGACAACATGCCTGGCTGTGGAGAGAAAGATGAGACCTGAGGCTGGAATCCAGCTTGTGGTGGATAAATGCTGGAGAGGCGGGCTGGTCCCCACAAAACCCTCCAGACCACCCCTAGCAGCAGCTGGCTTCACTTACAACCCCAGCTGAGATGAATGGCATTCCAGCACTCACCACCAGCCCACTGCTGCTTCTCCTTTTACAGCTGTTGCCTGATTACATCAAGCCTCTTGCTTTTGCTTTTGATGTAAATCCAGCTGGGAGGGTGCATTGGGGTGGGAACTGAGGTTATTTGCTCAAACCCCACCTTCCAATGTGAAAGCCTAGTTGAGGGTTAGCAGTGGCAAGCGATGCCTCCGTGACCTCTGCTTCCTCTGCCGTAAGAGTTTGCATTGTAGAGTGATGAATACATAATTCATTCCCACCCACCAGGGAAATGCCCTGGCAGCACGGCACAGACATCCGCAGCACAATATTGCAGGAAGAAAGGAGGTGGTTATACAAGATTTAAAGATATGGTGCACAGCCCTATGGGAGGGACGTGTGAGATGGATGTTGAGTGGGAACTCAGTAATAAGCCTGTGCGGCTGGATTCTTAGCAGCTTTTATTTTACCACAAGCACTCAGCACTATTGACAGTTTTCCATAATTTCAAGACACCTTTACTCTGGCTGCAGGGCACAGCAGCTCTCCCAAGGGTTTGTTTAAGGGGTAATCCCATCAGTGCTCCCCACACTGGGCAGTCACTGTCAGCCCTGCAGATGGGGTAGGACAGAGGCTGGAGAGGTACTTTGCACATCTTCACCTTTGCCATGCTCATGTTTAGCTCCTGATTTTTTTCTTCTGTTTTTAAATGAGAACAGACTTCAGGAAGAAAACATGCATGCCAAACAAGCCATCATCAGAGCTTGTACCCAGCTCCCCAGGGCAGTCTCCTGCCAGCCGCTGCCTTTTTCAGCATGGCCTTTTCTAATGTTTGTGATAGACTTGTCTTCATATTCCTCTGCTGAGCAGTGAGATTGGAGGAAGCCCAGAGATGTCCTGCTCTTCTGGGACATGAGTAATTTTATACACAGGCCTTTCCTGATGGGCATTTGTCAAGCCATACTATGGGAAACCGGAGAGGAACATTCCTAACCCTTAACCTGCCCACAATAAGCATGTGATAGGAATTATTTCATGGTATATTGGTGATTTCTCCACGTATCAATCTTAAAAAGTCTAACCTGAAATTTATCCCTTTTTCCTGTGCAGATTGGAAAGCAGAAGAGCTGAGTCATCCCCTGAGAAGACATTTCCCACAGCAGATGTTATGCCATGCGATCCTGCTATCTTTTGCAGTCATTGCTGGAGGAGCTTCTGTGTCACTCCAAGACCTGAATGAAGATAACATGGTCCCATTCCTCCAGTCACATCACTACAGCAAAGATAAACAGTGCTTGCTGCAGAACAAGCGTCAGTAAATCCTCTCTACTTGAAAACATCCCTGTCAGTACCGAGACCTTACCTTTGAAAGGCGATAATGTGAAAAACATCCTGCTACATTTTGCAATGAACATCTATTTACATATGTTATCTGGGAGCTGTCCTGTCATTTCTAACACCGTGACTTCTGGGTGACTTTTCCTCTGGCACCGAGTGCCAGCTTTGTGCCAATAATCTTCGATGACAGCTTATGAGGTCTAAATTCAGTCCCCATTTCCCCTGTATATTGTGCAAGTCACTTAATTGCCTTGTTCCTCATCTGTAACACAGCACCACATTTCCCTCCCTGTTGCCTGCCTGCTTTCTGTGGGTCAGACGGTGGGCCAGGCAGGGATCTCCTGATGCAGGGGTCTCAGCAGACTGATTTAAATCAGTAAAGGACTTCGGGTGGTTAACGTTGGGATTTGGAGCTAAAGACATTCCAGTTTCCCCCGGTTCACTGCTAACCAGACTGTGAGCTTTGTGAGATCTTCTGCACTATTTAAATCCCAGCTTCTGGACTTCACTGATTATGTGAGGACCCTGTTGTTTTCGGGGTTTTTTTGGTGGTGTTGGGGGTTGCCTCATCTTTTAAATGTACCTCACTAGCACCAGTGCAACAAAGATCCAGAGGGTGATGACTCCAGGTGGCTGGAATCTGTTATTCCTTCAAATAGGAAGAAGTTTGGGCCAATCTCATGACTTGAGCCAGGCTCAACTCATCGGTCTTGTGTGTGGGGATGGGCCTGTGCAGAACCAGTGCTGAAACCAGGAAAGAAGCTACTTTTCCTGCTTTATATGAGTACATTCCAGCTGAAATCTGCATGTGCCCATTCAACACACAGTGGAGGCACAAAGAGTCATCAGTGAACCACCTAACAAAAGTAAAGTCCTGCCAAAAGCACCAAATGCTGCAGTCTGTGAAGCAGCCTTGGGGGATGCACTCAGGGCAGATGTGCAGCAGTCAGCACTGAAGGGCTCAGAGCTTCTTGGAGCTGACACGATAAGTATAAAACAGAGTCCCAGCAGTTTCTTTGGACAGCCTGCTGCTGCGGAGTCTGTATCTTAATAAATGGCTCTCTGTTGTTACCGAACCTGTTTGCCCAGTGGCACAACGCGTATTTTGGGTATTAAGAAATAGCATCTGCAAAAAGTAATACATATTTAACAGAAGTATTTTAGAGCCCCCAAGAGTTAAAACCCCCTGCTTGGGTTTCCCTATGGGTGCTCCAAGACAGCTATGAGAGTTAAAGTTATGTATATGTGCTGTCCTATATTAAAGGAGCTACATTGATATATTTCATTCTCAGCCTCTGCCTCCTCCTATTCAATTTACAGTCTAGACTGTTAAAAAATATCTTGTTAGTGCTTTATTTCTATGGAAAAAGGGCACTTATGAGACAATGCACTCAACTGGAGATTACACAAGCTTGTTGCATGTTAGTGCATGATAACAGGAGAGGTTCCAGCAAGCTCCAGTATATAATAAACTGTGAAGGCAAAAATTGCTTATGATTAAACCTTTGATGGTGGGCTGTTAGGAATTCCCAGTGCAACATGCCACGCTGCCTTTTACATCAGCCCTAACGATGACACTGCCAGACTTGTTGGCTCCAAGGGGTTAATTATACATTCTGGATAAAAACAATGCAAGGATGCTTGTTAATACTCAAATCATGGCATGGTAACCCTGGGTGACTCCTTTACCGCTGCTGCCAATTTGCAACGTTCACCTGGGGCAAGATAGGAAAAGGCTTGTCATCCCTCACCCCTTCTGCTCTCTTTCCCTCCTGGCTGGCTTTTTCCTGTTTGCAGCATCACTTTGCTTGTCAAGGTAGCTGACAGGTGGGAAGCCTACCTGATTCTTGAAGTAGTAAGGTCAAAAGAAATTGAATCCACTTGCCACAGGTGGCAATTTATAGCCAATGCTGGTCCAGGGCAAACACAGATAAGGAGCAGGTGAGGCAGGCAGAGGACTACTTATGAGAGTGGTAAGGTAGGGGTAGTAAGAAGGATTAAAGAAGAGGTTTTGTTCTCAGTTTTTGTTCCCTGGGCTGGTAGTGGGGTGAGGAGCCTGAAGCCTTGGGTTTGGGCTGAAACATGGGCTGGGAAAGCTGAGTGGTGTTTTTCTGGTACACCAAGGAACTGCTGATTGTTGTTCATTCTTTTTGCTGTCCCGACTCCAGGAGCCTGAGTGCTTTTTATCTGCCAGAAGCCAGTGCTGATATCAAAGGTGAGCAGAGATAAGGTGTCTGTCTAAATGTTAGAAACTAAGTGGAGATGTCATACCACAAGGAAAATACTTGTAGAACTTTTGAGTCCTCTCTTTTGTCAGAAGACTGTATCAAGCAAAATTAGCATCCATAAACCCAGGGTGAAGTTGTGCTTTCAGCAGTTGCAGGCTTTGTGTTTTTGTTCTTCTAAAAATAGCTTCAATGAAATGAAAGTCTAGAAACTGCTCTGGTTCCCTTTCCTGCCCTGCGTGAAACCTGCCCCACTCTGTAGTCAGAAAGCTAAACTGATGTTCTCTGTTTATGCTGATAAATTTTCCTACCTAGACACATCCTGAACGTAACCAGAGTACTTGACTTAGCAAAGGTCTTTAAACGCTGGCTACAGCAGATGTATTGCTGTGTAGATGTGGCATGCTTTCAAACTGGAGCTTTTGAGCCATGAAGCATATAGAAAACTTGATAACCCAAGGGGTTTCTTCTTTTCCTTACATCTAACCTGAACTTCCCCTGGTTTAAACTTAAAGAGGGGAAGTTCAGGTTAGATATAAGGAAAAAGTTCTTTAATGTGAGGGCTGTGAGGCACTGGCACAGGTTGCTTGAAGTGGTGAATGCCCGTTCAAGGCCAGGTTGGGCAGAGCCTTGGGTGACATGGCCTAGTATGAGGTGTCCCTGCTCACGGCAAGGGGTTGGAACTGGCTGATCTTAAGGTCCTTTCCAACCCTAACTATTCTGTGATTATAACGGTGTGAGATTTGCCTGGAAATCTACTGTCCTGTTCCTGGAGAGCCCCTCTGCTGCAGGTGTGCAGGCAGGCTGCTGCTTGGGCTGGTGCGTGCAGGCTCGGAACAGTTCAGTTCACAGAATCAGTTTGTGCTGGTGTCTGTGCTGCTCCAGCAGGAGCGACTCGCGCGCCAGTGTGTGCAGAGCCCAGTGACTGACTACGTGGGGAGCAAGTATTAATCTTCTAAAGGCGAGCTAGTTGGTGTGTTTGTGCCCATGTTCTCCATGCAGTAACAAACCCCTGCCAAAACCTGTCCTCCTACAGGCTTTTCCCAGGCTGAAGGAACGTTTGATGGCTTAAGGAAGCAAATAATAAATAAAATTGGGGGATGGGGGGCCAAAGCACACAGTAAATAAGACTTTGACCTTATCTGAAGTATTCCTGTGCACTGAATTGAGCCAAGGACTCTTGAATAAAACAAACTTGAAGTTTCTAGGCCAAGTAGGTTTTGAGATACGGCTTTACAATAAATTGTTAGAGGAATATTTCAAGGGCTGAACTGCACCTCATTTTTCAAAGTCCCACATCTCACAAACACCTTGTCCGATCCGCCACAAACCTTGTCAATAAATTACCCCCTGGCTACTGATTACATATGCAAAGTTTTAAGCCAAGAAGCAGCATAAATCTTTGCTCTTATCTTGAACACCTCCCTCCCCAGGATACATCCCCTGCTGCCCTAAAAAACGGGTGGTTTGTATGATCATAACTGTGGAAAAGCACGGCCAGTTTTGAACGGGGCTGTGTGGTTGTGATGAATTGCTCCATCCAGTAGCTGTCTGAAGAGGCCATTTGGGGCTCTCTTGCCTCCTGGCCAATAGCTCTGTTCAGCCTCCTGAGGGATGCTCTTTCCAAGCCAGGATACGAGGAGGGAGCTCCACTGGCAGGGTGGCATAGCCCCTGTCCCATGGGAAGTGGGGCTGAGACCCTGTGAGCTTTGGGGCTGCCTGTGGGATCCCATCACTCTTGGCCATGCTTCCCAAACAAGAACATTTTAAAGGTTTGTACCACCCATGTCAGACCAGGAAAGGGAGCAAAGGAAGTGATCATAGGGTTTGGAGCATGTTATTTTAAAATTCTTTATTATAGGGAACTCAAATGAAACAGGAAGCTAGAAATAAAGTAGTTTTAGGCTCTTATTTTGTGGTTGAACTCCAGGTGAAAGTAGAGCAAAGGAAAAGGCAAAGGAATTGAGGCAGGAGCAACAAATAAGGCTAGGACATCAAATGAGCAGAGATTCAATACTGCTTAGTGTCATCTTCCATAATTTTTACCCGGAATAATTAATCTCAAGGCATTATGGCTCTCTGGCAATCGCATTCTTAGAAGAAGGGCTTGATAAATCTGGGCTTCTATTTTAGAGACTTGGGTAAGCATTCTTTGTTATTTCCCCCCATTTGTACACTTGCAAAGGTAAGTCTCTTTTCCAGTATCTGCATTTGGATCCAGAGGGAGTTATTAACTGTGCTGGCAGCAGTATCCAGCTACAATGGGACAATGACCCTGTCCTCCTGGTAATTTGTTCTATGACTTTATAAGGATTCAAATGAAATAATCATTTTATAGCAGACTGAAGAAATTTTGCATGCCCATGGTTATGATTATTATTTCTTTTCACACTTGTCTCGTTTTCCTTAGCTCCTAAGGAAATAAAGTAATTGGAGATTCTCCTGCTCCTCTCCCCAGTCAGATCCTGTCTGAAGCCCCTCAGATTTTCAGTGGTAAAGATTTCAGTGAAGATTCACAAAATTAACCATTTCTCAGACATAGATATTTGATCCATACTTTTATTTGTGAAACACTTGTAATACATATAGAAAGAAATCACTGAGGAACCCCCTACACTAAAGCATGAAGGAGGAATTTGGGATGTTCTCTTTTAAGAGTGCAGTAACTTGTTGATGTATTTCAAAGTCAACACTTCTAAAGAACCAAAAGGTAACTGCCTCGGAAGTGTTTTCATCTCCAATCAGTTATTTCAGCAATTGGGTTAATTGTCAGATTGAAATCCTACCCATCCTCATCACACAGATGTAATCAATGTCAGTAATTTAGAAGTTAGGGAACATCTTCATTAATATCTCCTAAGTG